GCAGTTCTCTATCTTGTTGCTATCAAACGTTATGCAAAAAGTACTTACGAGCATTCATGCTACCAGCACATATGCGAAAGAAACTGATCTTATCGAAATTTTATTATTATGATATTAGTTGAATATTGATCAAATAGCATAGAAAAGTAGAGCGACAGACGCTCTATCTGTTCATAAAAAAAGAAATTTTTTGGAAGCTTTCTATAAGAAAATAAAGTACCTCCCTCACTACTTTTGGATTGCCCACGATTTTAAGTACACGATTTTACATGTATTACACTTGAAGAATATAGAAAACGATGCCAAGAATTAGAAAATTTCAAACGTAACAATGCACTCTACACGTATTTTGTCAACGTTTTGGTATTAATAATAAAAGCCTTTTCGATGAATTGAATCATTTTAATGTAACAATGCAGGTACTATTTGACCCAATGCATGTACTCCTCGAAGGAGTTGTCAAAACACACTTGCAAGCGTTCATTAACTTTTGTGTCACCAATAATCTACTCAATATGAAAGATTTTTGTTACACCGTCAACAGTTTCGAATATAACAAAAATGAATCGTCGTGTAGACCTCATCTCGATCTTGACATTACCGCTCTACGAAATCGATCGGACGATCTCCCACTCTCAAGCATCCAAACTTATGTCCTTCTATGTAACTTACCATTTATTATTCGTAAATTAACCAATCAAATCGACAACGATAATTATCGGGCTGTTCTATCATTATTAGACATAGTTGATCTTTTGCTTCGCTACCAATATACAAGACACAACAGCAGCAGTATTGAAGAAAATTATCTGGTATCACAATAAACAATTTAGAATGTTATATCCAGGGAAAATGAAACCGAAATTCTATTTTCTTACTCATCTCCCTCGACAAATGACACTCTTTGGACCGTTACGGTAAGCTCATTTCTTTAGCAAAACCCGTTTGTTAAAGTGGACTAAGAGATAGATGACCGTATGTATTTTTTGAGGGGAAAAGAATAATACTACTTAAGAAAATCAAGAATCTGGAGCTTAAACGTAGCAAAAAGTTTCCCGTGTTAAGATTTACGTTTTCTTTCAGATATACAAATTGCCTTGCGGCAGAACGGAAACATGAGTTTTTTAAATCAAACAAATCTCGAAATTTTTTGAATTTAACGTACACATTTGGAAAAAGACACGAGTTATGGTGTTCAATTATCGATCACAACAGCGATTCATCTCTCTCTAATAGAGTATTGAGCGATCCTGATCAACATTCATTAAGTAAAACCGAATTGTGCAAAATACAAATTTCTCCACATATTCATTTACCGGTGACACCGACAGCGGTGTTAAAATCAGCAACGATTGATGGCATTGAATATTATGAAACAATAATTATCTGCGTGACTCCTGAAAGTGTAACTGCAAATCCAAAATTTGACCAAATTCATCTTATTTTATCTCATGGTACTACCATTATTTTGATCTATTATGAACTTGATCTGATTCTTTTCGACGATTATCTAGGGGCTTTTCGGACAACTAAAACGAATTATTGTTTGTTAACACATTTAGAGTATAGATGGGCAATGGAATCCATCTCAGACAAAAATTATATATGGGTTCTACTTCATCCATACGGACGTACATTTGTAACAATACCACAATAACGAAATTAGTCGTCGGTTTTATCTGAAGATTTCTTGTCCATGTCTGATACGCTACAAGATGGTACCATAAATCTCGAATGAACTATATGCCGATCGATAGAAGATAGGGAGCTGGTAAAAACTCTAAAAGGATTTCAGTTCATGGCACTTCCTTCAAAGTTATGATTTGTTTTGTTTTCTTACCCTAGGAGGTCGAAAATACTAAAAATTCTGTAACTCAGCCGAAACAAAGAACTAAGTGCTGAAATTTCTTCCTACTAGTGTGCTATAAGTCTGTTATTATCATAGAAAATTTTAGCTTTTCGCTCGTACCATATTTGAAGTTATCGAAACCATGCGGTTTCTAATTAGTGGTTTTTTCCTTAACTCATATTTCTTTTATTCTAATGTAATCTCGTATGTTTTTCTATTATTTTCCAAATAGTTGGGTTTTTTTGTTTTTCCAAAAATCAGACTGTTCGTTTTTGTTTTTATTTTCTTATACATCTATCGAATAATAAAGCATATTTTCGTAGTGCAAAACCAGTCTACTATTCGAAGAAAATGTCCGCGTTTGAAGCATAGCCGTACCACACTTGAAGCGTGGATTAACCATGCTTCAGGTGTAATATAAGCACGCTTTATCATATTAAGATGATAAAACACAGATCCAATTGAACTTCGGTACCACGCTTTAAGTGCGTAAAAAGGTAGTCCATGTTCAGTACAAACACAGATGAAGCGTGATACGTCGCCTTATTGGACGTTCATTATGGACTATGTCTACACGCTTCATCCATGATTTTTTTACATTTGAAATGTAAAACTTTTTTACAGTGTGTTATGTGTGTGTGTGTCTGTCTGTGCGCAAAGCACGGAAAAATAGTCGTTGGATCTTATGGACAAGCCAATCATACGGAAGAAAAGCAGAATAATATTTTTTTAAGAGAGAAAATATTCAAAAAGATTATCTCAATTGCCTACTTGTGCAGAGACACAAAGATTAAGAAAATGTTTTTGTGTCAAGAGGCAGATGTCTCTAGACACCAGTCAACTTTTAATAACACAAAAAAGTTCTGCGTATGGTAAAACTTACACAACTATAGTGGTTACGAACGCTGATCGAAGGAAGGCATTAGTATTGTCTTGGGTTCTGAAATATATTTTTGATTCCATCGAGCCTTAGAGAATCACGAAAAAATCCACTAGTGATTTTTTTGTCCTATAGAGAAATCGTGTAATGTGACTCAGCATTTTTGAGTCAACAAGTCTGGAGCCAGTTTCATAAAAAACTTAAGTCAGACTTAAGTATAAAATTGAGTTCTTTTATGAAACTGGGTCCTGCTCACAAAAAACAGCCATGCCTTTCGGCACGTAGAAAAAACAAATGATTACATAATGTTTTGCTAGACCCACCCTCTCCTATGTAAATAAAAGTAATCATTTGCGGACTTCCTCTATCCTTCGATATGTTTAGACAATTAATGGTTCATTTACGAGCATTTCTCAGTAATTTTATCACCATTCGGCAATTGCTCAAGAATGATGTAAAAATCACATAATAACTCGACAACTAGTCACACATAAATGATGTTAACTTAAAGTCATATAAATGACCGTAAAATGGTCATTATGAAATGACCATTCTATGATCATTTTTTATACTAGATCATTCAATTTTTATATCATTTTTGCTAATGATCACAAAACGGGTCATAAATGAGATCGTTTCTAGCTCATTTTTATATCATTAATTAACCATCAACCGATCATTCTTATGTCATACAATTAATCACTCGTTAATGCTTCATTTTCACTCACCTGGGAATAGTTTGGCGTAAAATGTTTCAACAAAGACAGTTATATTCAACTAGACCGTCTAGTTGAATATAACTGTCTTTATTGAAACATTCTCCTCCTTCATCGCCGATGAAGGAGAAAGTAGAATGATAGAGGAACGAACAATTAACACGACAGATACAGCTAGTATACTCTTTCTGTTAAAAGAAAAATCTTTTTATATATATTGTTTTCTATTCTTGTTGTAATGCTAATTTTATTTTTTTTGGACGTCCTCTTCCTCTACGTTTACCAATAAGTTGTGGGACAGGCCTTGTGCCCCACATCATCATTAAACGAATTGCATGTATACATGAGTATTCTTTGAGACCATATCTACACAAACAAAACCATGGTGGTAAAAACGTGAGCAATTGAGCAAACGGGCTGATGATAACCAGCGAACGAATTCATCAAATGATTGCCAGTCTGCTGAATTTAATTGCTGAACCCATGTGGATACATTTATTTTTGAATCATTGGATGGCACAACGAAAGTGAATGGATTCAGTTGTGCAATTTGAGATTTATCAATCTTTTGTAACCATTCAAATGAAGTTGAAAATGTGGTTGAAAATGAAGTTGAAAATGTTATGACTTCATAATACTGTGCTTTATGCACATGTTTTTCTTCTCGACTATTCATTATTCCGAGATCTTTTCTGCATAAATAGATAAATTTATTTTTCCAAGATCTTTTCTGCAGAATAAAAAAATAAATATCATTTTCCGAGATCTTTTATGCATAAATGCTTAATGGACATTTTTCCGAGATCTTTTCTGTCTTTATTTCCTTCCCATTCTGTTAATTTTCCGAGATCTTTTCTGATTTTATCCAAATACCAATATATCAGAGAGGAAAAAAAGAAAGAAATGGAATTCTCTAGCTCTGTTTCAAAAATATAAATGTATGTGTAATCGAAAGTAGTGCTCGTTCACACATTATATACACGGAGGAAGAAATAAAAAACGTTCACCGAGTGCCATCATCATTTGAGATCTGTGTTTCTAGGAAATCAGAAACCTATGCATTTGGCACCAATAAACGGCGGATAACCGGATCATTTTTACAACCGGCAACAAATTCTTCTTTTGTTAATTTTTTATCACCAGTGATATCACAAATTCGCATTATTTC